TGGGGGGACTATTGGAGGCCTCTTGGGGTGTCCTGGAAGCGTCTTAGGCCGTCTGTGGGTCGTTCGTTCGGCGACCGTCTGGGAGGCCGTCTGGGGCCTTCCTGTACAGTCTGAAGGCTTCTTGGAGCCCTCTATGCCCGTCTGGAGGACCTCTTGGATCTTGGAGCACTCGGCTGCCTTTTTGCCCCATCTTGGGGCACACTGCGGCCCGTCACAAGGCCGCCCTCTGGGGGGACTCTGGGAGCCATCTTGGCCCGCCTGGGGCCATCCTGTCGGGAGCGGCCAAGAGGGGGGTGTCCAAGAGGGGGGGTGCAAATCATGACCAGCGGCATGTGCGCGGCCCAGCGGGAGGGCCAGGGACGTAATGAAATAACAAGAGGCGCCATGAAATCTGGGGAGATATCATGGCCCCCGCCATGATATCCACCCCCCCTAGTCATCACCCCCCTCTTTTCCTGGGAAATCCAACAGCAACTTACCCACAAGGCCGCCAGAACTCAAGGCAGATCCGTTAAGTGTAAATGGTACTATATTCAAATTCTCCCCAATCAGAGCTTGCCTCTGTAAGGACCCTAGCAGATTCATATGGTAAAGTGAGGTGCGTCGGGAATTTTCCCGGGTGCCCGGGTGCCTGTGTCCGGGGTGGATCGGGAATTGTCCCGAATGCCGGGGTGCCCGGGTGCCCTATAGCCCTATAGTCCTATAGCCCCACAGCCCAATAGCCCTATAGCCTCGTAACCTTATAGCCCTATAGCCCTACAGCCCTATAGCCCTATAGCCCTATAAACCCATAGCGTTGTATCCCAGGAGCCCTGAAGCCCTACAACCTTATCGTTCTATAGCCCTATAGTCTCATAGCCCTATAGCCCTAAGGCCATACAGCCCTACAGCCCCTTAGTCATATAGCCCAACAGCCCTCCAGCCCTATAGTCCCATAGCCATATATCCCTATAGCCCTATAGCCCTACAGCCCAATCGCCCTGTAGCCCAATCGCGCTATAGTCCGGTAGTCTCCTAGCCTTATAGCCCTACAGTTCAATATGCGCATCGCCCCAGAGCTTTATAGCCGAATATCCATAGAACAAAAAATGGTTGGAACTTTCTCCGGTGTCATCAATTAGTTTAATGAAACACTTGCCAACTATGATGTTTTATAAGAAGATGGTAGTAGGAGGCACTCGAATGAAACATGTGATATCATATACAACAACGTAGTACCATATGTTCGGTGAAATAAAATGGGGAACTGCCAGATTATGATGTTGTACGTATATGTACAGTCTATAGAAGTGGCACGTGTGTGCTCAGGCTCATTATATTCATGTATACATATATATGTAACAACTGAAAGGTCGCTTGGAGCAGGAAGACACCATGACGGCGGGATCGGAGACGGAGAAGGGGAAGCTGGCGCGGCGCCGCCAGGGCGGGCCTAAGAGAAGGGGAAGTGGCTAGCACGGACATGTAGCACCATTGATGCAAGATGGGCTGGCGGAGTGAGCGAAGCCATTCACAAGAGAAGTGTAAGCACGATGTCCGCCAGCCGATTTGTTTCGCTAGATGTGGAGAGAAAGAGAAGGATGAGAAGAGGAGGAGGATAGCTGCTGGGAGTGAAATGCAACAGCGGGGTCGCACTCGAGCGCAAGGGGGGTTGCAACACCTTGCGATGTGTGTACCACGGGCCCCCAGGAAGCCTCAGGAGGCCCGGCCAGGATGCCAGAACATATTCCAGGAGGCCCCAGGAGAGGTCGTCTGGGATCGAGGTTGCGAGGATGTCCATGGAGGCCTCAGGAGGCCCGACCAGGAGGCCGCAAGAGGCTCCAGGAGGCCGAAGGAGAGTACGTCTGGGCTCGAAGTTGCGAGGATGTCCACGGAGGCCGAAGAGGCTTCAGGAGGCCCGACCAAGAGACCGCAGGCCCAAGGATGCCCCAGGAGGCCCCAGGAGGGTCCAGGAGGCCCCCAGGAGGCTCCGAGGCGGGGTCTGGGGCACCAGAAGGTGCGTCGGGGCTCGATTTTCGGAGGATGTCTCAGGCGAAACCGCCATTCTTTGAGAATCGGGGTCGAAATCGTCGAAATTACATTGTGTGTTTGAAGGTTTCATGTTAGAATGTTGAAATTCCCATGTATGTTTGGACCCTGACGTCACGATCTGTGTGAAGGGTGCCACCGATGTTTAGAATTTCGAGGATGTCCTTAGCGAAACGGCCAGAAGCATCGCGGAGGTAATCCATATAAATATATACATCTATATATATATATATATATATATATATATATATATATACTAGAACCACGCGCGCGCTTCGCGCGCGCTTAGGTTCTGTCGAGTCACAGACCCAGGAACCGTTGTGAGAAGAAATTGGTGACGCGAAGCGTCGTGGGGGCGTCCTTGGACGTCTGGGGTCTCCTGGGGCCTCTTGAGGGGCCTCCTGGGGGCCTCCTGGCGGCCTCTTGGGGCGGAAGGCTCGAGCTTGCGGTTCGTGGTCCCCCTCTGGGCCCCCTCTTGGGCCCGTCTTGGGGCCCTCTTGGGCCATCTTGGGCGCCTCTTGGGCCGTCTTGGGGCCCTCTTGGGCTGTCCTTGGGCCTCCTTTGGGCCTCTTGGGGGTCTCCTGGGGCCTCTTGAGGGGCCTCCTGGGGCCTCCTGGCGGCCTCTTGGGGCGGAAGGCTCGAGCTTGCGGTTCGTGGTCCCCCTCTGGGCCCCCTCTTGGGCCCGTCTTGGGGCCCTCTTGGGCCATCTTGGGCGCCTCTTGGGCCGTCTTGGGGCCCTCTTGGGCTGTCCTGGGGCCCTCTGGGAAACTTCTTGGGCCGTCTTGGGGCGGTCTTGGGCGCCTCTTGGGCCGTCCTGTAACGTCGGAAAGCCCAAAAGGCGACTTTGTTAAAAATGTACGTTTTACGAAGGGAATGGGCCAATTCTTGCGTCTAGGGGCCCTCTTGGGACGCATGTTGGAGGCTTCTTGGAGCCTCTTGGGGGCGTCCTTGGACGTCTGGGGTCTCCTGGGGCCTCTTGAGGGGCCTCCTGGGGGCCTCCTGGCGGCCTCTTGGGGCGGAAGGCTCGAGCTTGCGGTTCGTGGTCCCCCTCTGGGCCCCCTCTTGGGCCCGTCTTGGGGCCCTCTTGGGCCATCTTGGGCGCCTCTTGGGCCGTCTTGGGGCCCTCTTGGGCTGTCCTGGGGCCCTCTGGGAAACTTCTTGGGCCGTCTTGGGGCGGTCTTGGGCGCCTCTTGGGCCGTCCTGTAACGTCGGAAAGCCCAAAAGGCGACTTTGTTAAAAATGTACGTTTTACGAAGGGAATGGGCCAATTCTTGCGTCTAGGGGCCCTCTTGGGACGCATGTTGGAGGCTTCTTGGGGCCTCTTGGGGGCGTCCTTGGACGTCTGGGGTCTCCTGGGGCCTCTTGAGGGGCCTCCTGGGGGCCTCCTGGCGGCCTCTTGGGGCGGAAGGCTCGAGCTTGCGGTTCGTGGTCCCCCTCTGGGCCCCCTCTTGGGCCCGTCTTGGGGCCCTCTTGGGCCATCTTGGGCGCCTCTTGGGCCGTCTTGGGGCCCTCTTGGGCTGTCCTGGGGCCCTCTGGAAGCTTCTTGGGCCGTCTTGGGGCGGTCTTGGGCGCCTCTTGGGCCGTCCTGTAACGTCGGAAAGCCCAAAAGACAACTTTGTTGAAAATGTACGTTTTACGAAGGGAATGGGCCAATTTTTGCGTCTAGGGGCCCTCTTGGGACGCATGTTGGAGGCTTCTTGGGGCCTCTTGGGGGCGTCCTTGGACGTCTGGAGGCCATCTTCAGCATCTCGGAGCCCTCTTGGAGGCCTCTTGGAAGTTTCTTGGGCCGTCTTGGGCGCTTCTTGGGCCGTCTTGTCTGACTGGGGAGGCCTCCGGCAAGCCCCGACGAGCCTCCGGGCCCCCCGGGGTGCACATTTGTGGTCGAGGTCCCGGCCCCGGGCCCCCGGACCCGGTGCGCCGTTATATGTATATATATATATATATGTATCATTACAACAAGAACGTGTACAAGGTGAGGTTATACAATATTATACCCGATAAAACATACTCGAGCAGGATTCAATAGAAGATACTACGCTAGGACATGATAGGGCTGAGAGAAATTATATCGCGATGGATATCTGCACTGATGGTGGCAAGAACCTGCAACGGCAGCGGGCTCGGGACACGGGCGAGGGGGGAGGAAAGAGGAGAAGGAGGACATACACGTATGCATATACATGCGCATGTACAAATACACGTACACGACGACCTATACATACACAGGTACATATACATCACGTATGCATAGACGCGTCGATTGACACATGTTTGTACAAACACGACCGACTACATATCGACATAAAGACTGGGATTTGCCAGACACACAAACTGAATGCATACATGTATACAGTGTATACATATATACAAACTTACATATACAAACACACATTTGTACACAGCACATAGATACACATACACACATGCATACACAACTACACCGAAACGTGGGCACAATACATGTATATATACATATGTGTAAACATATTTGTAGATGAACACCGTAAAACCGTGAAATGAGGACGCACGACCAGGATGCAAGGGCATTAGAAAGGCCATGTCGAACTGTTGTGAGCGGGGCGCGGCCAGCGAAAGCGGAAAAGAATGGACCGAAGGGGGGGGGGGACGCAATGCTAATCTTGGGAAGTCGCTCATCCTTGCTAGGCGGGTTGGCTGTCTGTCCATGAAAGGCGGCCAGAACTTGCCATGGCTCCGGGCTCGGGACACGGGCGGAGGGAGTGTAGGAAAAAGGAGGAGGAGAAAGGAGGAGGAAGGGTGAGGAAGGATCCGATGTGTGGGCGTGGCTAGCATGGAAGGGAAAGCGGGAGAGGAAGGAGGAGGAGGCAGAGGAAGGAGGAGGAAGGAGGAGGAGGAGGAGAGCATATACATGTAGACATCTACAGATACTTCTACTTATATGAACGTGTCCATGTTGACCCTGCTCCAGCTCATCCCCCAGCCCGGCGGGGCTCCTGCTCCGCATTCCAGAGCACCGTCTTGGGGGTCGTGCTCGCCTCATGCCGGCAAGGATGCGCGGGGCACGGGGCTCAGCCACGCCAGAAGGGGAGGCAGGCGGGCAGGCAGGCAGGGAACAGGGAACGGAGGCGGGTGGAGGATGAGGATAGCAGGGCGGTCACGGAGTCAGGTGACACATCCACACGCCAGTCGGAAGAAGCAGGTGAAACTAGACAGCAGAAGGACGGATAACGCAGATGGGGTGCAAGCCCTCCCAGAGAACAGCAAACCCACAGCAAGAGCACACATCGATTCCTGTAGTAGGATTGAGCTTGAAACTGACTAGAACGCAGGGATGTAAAAACGGTGTTCATCGACTGGTCTGTATACGCACACACATATATACTTAGCTGTATGTACCTAGTATGTATATATGTAGAGAGAGAGGGAACGAGAAAGAGACAGAGAGAGAGAGCGAGAAACAACAAAACTACATACAGGATTTATAATAGAGACAGAGAGAGAAAGAGAGGGAGAGAGACGGAGAGAGAAAGAGAGAGAGAGAGAAACATAGAGAGAGAGATAAACAACAATCAAACACACACATAACATGCAAAACAACATAACCTTAAATCGGGCATGCCCCCCTACAGGCTGATGTTGGGTGAAAATCAAACAACTACCCAATACATGCTCAAACATACAAATAATCGAAACATCGTCCCCCGACTCGTTTTTACTATATGTTGATATTCTTCCTGTAGAGGGACATGCCCGACCTAAACATAGAAAGCGCGAGAGTTACGGAGTTACGGAGTTAGTCCACGCAGGTGACGATTAATAGGGAGAGGGGGAGGAGGGGGGGAGGGCCGTCTCAGGAACGACGACGGGCGGCCCTCACGCCTCTCCTCACACACCTCCTCCACGCCTCTCATCCCCTCGCCCGCGGGTGGGGTGACAGGGACACCATCAAACTCAGGAGCAAACACAAAATCGGGGTCCCCCTGAGCTCCCTCGTGTGGGAAGTCGGGGGCCTCAAAATCAGGTTGGGGAAGGACGGCGTACCTCAACTATTCATCCAACCCCACGGGCACAGGCGCATCGCGGGCCTGCTCGCTCTCTCTTGGCACGGGCACTCTGGGCCGAAACCTCGGCCACCACGACCGACAAGGGGGGCCCACGGTACGAAGGAAAAGGCCCCCGCGAAATACGAGACAAATTCTCGATGCCCTTGCGAGAGGGCGGCAGACAGGGCTTCGAGAGATTGCGGCCAAGCACCGTCGCAATGAAGCCACAGGTGGCACAAAACTCGAAGCCATAGCGGGACCACTCCCGAAGACTATGAGAGGGGTGGAGGGCCACACCTCCAACCTCGCAACGCCCGCTCACCGCAAGGAAACCGTCACCGAGGAACCGCACCGCGGGGGCCGAGGCGGGAGGAGACGGGCCAGCGGCAGCTGGTCCAGGGGCCAGACAGGGCGTGGCCGCAAACGTCAGAAGCCTAGCCCTGGGAACAGTAACCCGACAGAGCTCACACATCCGACGATTGCTGCACTTCACGAGGCGATGCGGCGAGGAGTCAAGCGCACGGACGAGGGCAGACTTGGGCTTAGCCCTGACGACAAGTGCCCCGCTATCAATAAGAGCGCGTCTAGCACGCCTCCGCACCGGGAAGGCAGTGACATCCCAGCGATCGGTAAACGGGATCGGCTGGCAGACTGACGAATCCCACCCCCTCCTCGCCGCCCACCCTGCCCAGGCATCAGCACAAACGTTGCCACGAGAGAGGAAGGCTTGAAAAGGGGGAGGTGGTACGCTCTGGCTCTGCCTCTGCCTCCATACGGGAAGCAGCCCACACGACCTCGACGGTCCCAAGGTCCCGATGTTGCCCAGCCTGCCTCACGCGGACCCAGAGATCCGCGTTGGGACGCAAGGGCCTCTGCGCGCGGCCAGACCTCCAGCCGTCAGCCAAAGGCTTGCCATCGCAGACGTAAACGAGATCCCCCGAAGAGCGCTCGACACCCCGGGCCAGCGCGAGGAGCTCTGATCGGGGCACTGTCTGACGGCGTCCTGAGAGGCAGGCGGCCAGGCCGCAGACGGGGGGCCACATCGTGTCAGGTCCCAGTCCAAGGCACGACGCTCATCAGAACTGTGCGCTCCCCCCGACCCGTCCCCAAACAGATACAAGGGCGGGTGACCAGGAGGGGCCGAAGGCTCCTTCAGCAGGCACTGCCCGAGGAAAATTGGGTCTCCAAATCCAGGGCGATCCACGCACTGGGGCACAGTAAGCGAGACAGGCTGAAGGCCCCTCAGCCAGAAGGACGGATCAGCGTCAGCATTAGCAAGTGCCTGCGGGATAAGAGCATCAGTAGACGAGTAGTCCTTGTGATAATAATTTTTCACACACACTCCCAAATGCGATGCCGCAGCGTCTCGGGCGCAGCACGGCATCGAGGGCAGAGGCGGTCCACTTCGTAGCCCGAGTCGTGTTGCCTCTGCTGCGTCCACTGGCCACCTGAGATCACGGTCAAGGTGGCTCCTCACAGTTCCATGTCGCCCTTCATGGCACAGGAGTCCAACTCACGCTGTATGACATAGAGGTCGGTTCCTTGACCGAGCTGCTCACCATCATGATGTCGTGAGGCCTCCCTCCAAGCTGTATCGCAGCAATCCTGAAGAAGGTCATCAATGAGCTCGCTGAAGTCCTCGAGGACGGCGTCGCTGTAACCAGTGTCGCCCAAAGAGAGGAAGGTATTGTCCTCAGGCCCCTCAACGCCAACGCGGCGCCAACGGGTCGGCTCCAGGGGCTCCCAGCCGAGGACAAACACGGGCGACGCGAGCACGCAAGATCGGATGAGAAAGCCACATCCGAAACCACTCAGTGAGAACATCTCGCCGAAGCTGAAGGGACGGGTCAGCCGAGCCCAAGGTAGCCTGCAGCACAGACTGCAAGCAGCGACCACGCTTGTGCCTAGCGATAGCGCCAGCCGCCTGTCGGAGCAGAGAAGTGAGCAGCGACGGCGGCGCGCCCATGTTCTGGTGCCTGAAGGTCGCAGACGGGAGCACGCCTGTACGCCACAAGCCGTTGGCGACCTTGTGGCTGCCAGCAAGCCGCCGCAGCCTTCCGGATCTTGGCGTGGCGGGATGCAGCGCGAGCCACGCGAGTGCGAAACTTGGTGCGCGCGCACCTTCTGGCACCGGCCGCGTCCACGCCCAAGTCGACCGCAGAGGCCGTCAAGACCACAGGGATAACATGCGCCTCCTGGAGGAGGCCGTGCAGCATCACCTTAGCCATTGTCCACCCCGCGCGGGGAGCCAGCCACGATGGACTTGCCAGGTTCCAAGGCGGAACTGACCAACATGCCGCGCTTGATGAGGCGGTGCGCCGCATACATCCCGACCTCCAGCACCGTGATGATAGCAGGGTAGTGCAGAGTGCGGCCGGCCTTCATCTACAGCGCGAAGCTGATCGAACCATAAAACTTCTGCGAGTCTAGAAACAAAGTAGCGTAGCTGACGCCAAGCTCCGTGGCACACTCATCAAGGATGGCGCTGGCCAAGGCCGCACGAAGAGCGGAGGACCCAGCAATAGCCGTGTCCCAGAAGGCTCCTTGTTTCTCCGTCCATAGGAAGCACGAGAGTGAGAGAGCGGGAAAGAGAGAGAGAGAGAGAGAGCGAGCGAGCGAGCCAGCGGCTGGCGAGCGAGCGAGGGCGGGGCGATCAGGGGCGGCAGGGCGAGGGAGGCGGCGGACGGGGGTGGCCTGTCCTCGACGGGCTCTCCTGGGCCGACATTGGCCCCAAGATGGGAAGTCCTCCTCCTCCTCCTACCCCTCCTCCTCCTCCTCCTCCTCCTCCTCATCCTCCTCCTCCTCCTCCTCGTCTTCCCACTCCTCCCCCTTCTCCCCCCCTCCTCCTCCTCCTCCTCCTCCTCCCTCCTCCTCCTCCTCCTCCTCCTCCTCCTCCTCCTCCTCCTCCTCCCTCCTCCTCCTCCTCCTCCTCCTCCTCCTCCTCCTCCTCCTCCTCCTCCTCGTTTTCTCCTCCTCCTCCGCCTGCACGATGGCGCCAGATTCTCCTTTATGGCTCGAAGATGGCTTCCCAAGACCGGCCCAGGGCGGTCCCGATTGCCAACGAGGCCCCCCCAGGGACGCCCCCGAAGAGGCCCGAAATCGCGCCACTCTTCGGGGGAAGCGGTGATGGATACTTTACCTTCTTGCCCCTTCGCTGCAGAGGGATATCCGAGGCCGCAAGAACGCCCCTCGGCCTCCTCTTTGGACGACCGAGATGGGCACGGGAAAAATTGTACGATGCCCAACAAAAAGTTGTCCAAAACAATCAGCGGCCGCTGTTGGGCAGGCGGCCTTCTGTCTGAAGTGGAATCTGCTCATAATGAACAAGAGCTGCTGTTAGACTTTGTGTCCATTGTTTCCGTGCACAATTCGATTGTCCCAACCCTCTTGAACCTGACTCGAATCGCCATCGTGCGAGTTTGCTTCCCGGAGGGACTCCAAACGGCCCAATGAGGACTCGCTAGAGGTCGAGACTGCGGCGTCAGCCTTCGACCAAGCTTGCCATCGCTCGGACGTCCAGTCCCAATGCATTTTTGAACTTCGTGCGTGTCTGCTTTTGGCCAAATGATCCAGGATATCCTCGATGGCTTTCGCCGGAAACAATGCACCCGTCCGAGCGATGCCAAAGAGTGTGTTCGCTTCGTCGCCCCCTGTCCTGTCAGAGGGACCCGAGGCCTCTCTGGATGGCACCAGGATCGCCCGGCGGGTTCCGCACTCCACCCCCGTAGACAAGCGCGCTCCACGAACTGCGCACAAGGACACCTGCTCGCAGACACAACTGCTCGCAGTACTAGCGACTCGCGGGCATGTCCACGATCTGCTGCATCGAGGAGAACGTGGAGTCTGCGGACGGTCTGCGAGCAGTGGAGCGCGCTCGGTGGGATCCTGGGCGTGCGCAGGTCGAGGCCAAGCTTGGCCTTGACGGCTGACGCACCTGCCTCTTCCGCTGGACGCTCCGACGCTTCCCTGAGCAGGGCAACTCGTCTGGCGGTCGTTTCTGGATCGTTGAAGCAAAACGGAAGGATGTTCTCGAATGATCAGCCGCAGCGACGAGAAGCATGCACCAAGCCCCCCCCCCACAAAAACTGGAGACCCCTCTATCCTCAAACCTCCGCCCCATCCCCGTCGCGCTTCCCCGCATTCCTTCCCTCTTCCTCTTCCCTCCGGTTTCCTCTCCAGCTCTGCACTCCCTTCGATCACCGCGCGCGCCTCCAAGATCGGGATGTGGGAGAGCAGGATCACATTCTTCCCGGCCTCGCGAAAGGGAGGGGGGAGTCCGTGGCTGGTCGAAACGAAGGACGCGGTAGACGACGGAGGAGGGAGTGCAGTCGGAAGGACGCGGGGAAGACGGAGGAGGGGCAGCAGCTAACCCTACCGACCACAACAGAGGGAGGGAAGGATAAGAGTGGGGAAAAAGAGGATCGAGGTCTGCACGGTGCTGCGCCCTCCTTGAGGCTGCCAGCGGCGAGAGTGAGGGATGAGACGTCCCATTCCAGCATGGGCTAAGTTCTTCGTCGTCCGAAGTTGAGGCCACAGCCATGGGCTAAAGTGTCCAAGCGTTGGTCCATGCTACTTCACGCGGCCGTCTGGATCCTGTCTCAGACCGAAACGACCGAAGTCGAAACGAACAGACGCGAGGCCCTGGAAACAGGCAGACCAGAGTGGGGAACGATAGATAAGAGAGATAGAGAGGAGAGAGTGCAACAAAATGCGAAGCGCTCGTCACACTACTCATCTTCCTCCTCATCCCCCTCCAGCAACGCGCAAGTAACATGGAGGGCCATGGAATGTGGCGCGGAGCGCTGCTGCTGCACGCGTGCCCCACTTCTGCGCCGCCTGCACCGTCCACGACCTCACCCGGTGCCTCGCCCGTGTTCCCCCCATCCTCCTCACCTCCCCTCCTCCTTCTCTCAACACGCTGCCATGACTCTGTACGGAAACGGGGCCCGTCGCTTATCCCCGCGCCTCGTTTCATGTTTGCGAGTCCTTGACTCGTGCAACCCCCTCCTTCCCCTCCCCCATCCCGACCAGCAGGCTCGAGGAGTCCTGCGCACTGCCCGCTCATGAGAAGCGAGACGCGGCAAAGCCCGCCACAGACGCATGACATTGCTTCCGCGAGACGAGTCTTGTTCTGGCCATCCAGGAGGGTGGACAGTCGCATGCTCCCAGCTGCGCACATTGTTGCTCGATGTGGGGGCCAGGTCCCACTTGCGTCCTACGGCTGTAGCTTGACTGCGATCGGCTTGCTCGAATCGAATCGACTAAGGACTAGGGAAACGAAAATTGCATAAACGTAAAAACTCCGAGGTCCGCGCGGATTTCTCGGATCCGCGCTGGACCCCCTCCCTGGCGCGCGGAGCGCGCCAGGGGCGGCGCCAGGGGCGGCGCCAGGGGCGGCGCCAGAGGCGACGCCAGAGTATCCGAGAAATCCAGGCGGACCTCCAAGATATTTTTCGGGGGCACGCACACATGGATCGGGGGAGGTGCCCTCTCCAAAATGCGGCCGGTGCCGCCCCGCTCGGAGGCGGAAATCCACGATTTTTCTGTGGCAACGGGACCGTCGCTAATCAACGCCCCCTTGATCCATGTTTGCGATCGCCTGAATTATGTTTATGTCATTCTTCGTTCCCCTATCGACTCTCCCATCCTCGGAGGCGGCCAAGAGGAGGGCGTCCAAGAGGGGGGGCGCAAATCATTGCCGGCGGCATGTGCGCGGCCCAAGGGGGAGGGGGCAGGGACGTATTGAAATAAGAAGCGGTGCCATGACATCTGGGGAGATATCATGCCCCCGGCCATGCTATCCACCCCCCACTAGTCATCACCCCACTCTTGGCCAACCCCGACATCCCCATCCCCGTTCGCTGGCCGCCGCACCTCGAAGCAAAGGCCACCGCAGCGGCAGCCGGGCACAGGCCACGATCGGCGCCCGCCTCCGCGCAGGCCGCGAGCCGCTGCCTCAGCCAGGCCAGCTGGTCGTCGCCCAGGCCGCCGTTGTAGGGCACGAAGCGGTGCCTGCCGAGCTTTACGTTGGGCCCGTCCCTCTACAGGAGGAACATTCAAAAATAGTCAAGAAATCCTATGGGGATGAGTTTCTAAACATATGTGTATGTATATATAATATGTCTATGTATACAGTGCGTGTGTGTGTGTGTGTGTGTGCAAATTTTGAGCATTGCTAGGATATCTCCCATTTCTCGTCCAAAATCTGATTGTAGGGGGACATGCCCGACCTATTTAAGCCGAGTTTTGCCCTTCACCCTCGAGGGTTGAGGGGCAAAGCTTCGGACGCGTGAGCCTGTTTTTTGTTGGACTCGGGCAAGCTTACTTGGTGAGCGTTTTTTTCACTCGGCGTTTCGACACTGGGCGGAAGGTGGGCTTTTCTCGGTCTTCGTCTTCCCCCCCACTTCCCATAATTGTCCCCTGCTTTCCTGGGAGTCGACGGTTCATTGTGTCTGTGTTTTTCCCCTCCTGATAGACGTCATCGACCAGTTGGTGTCAGCTTTTCTCATTCGGCGATTCGACATTGGGCGGAAGGTGGGGGGGGGGGGAAGAGGGGGGGGTCTGGCTCCAGACCTCTGCTTAGTGCGACTGTTTGGGACCGTGCGTCCTCTGGGGGAGACTCTACCTGCTCGAAACAGGCGCCAAAGACAGCCAAGATCTACCCCACGGGGGGGGGGAGGGGGGGTGCGAGGGCCCGCGCCGATCGGCAAAAGAATTAGCAAAAAAAGGCTAAATTGCGTGGACGGGGGGAGGGCCTGAGCCCGAAGCAGGCCGAAGACAACTCGGCGTGCGGAAATCACGCAGGTCGAGAGGCACTTGCACGCTCGCGGTCGACCAAAGAGCGGCGAGGGGTGGAGGGGGCGAACGCCATGCAAGTAGACTGGACCTGAAGAAAATCGGGCTCTGTTCGGCCCCTCTTTCGGCGGTGGACAAACCTCCCATCAGTAAACCTCCCTTTAGTGAAAGCGGCCCGGGACCGAAACCGACGGACCTGGACCCGAAAAAATGACGGCCGCCACGCCCTCTCGCAGACCGAAAACGGCCAGTTCGCTAATCGACGAGTCAGGGTAGAAGGCCTATCAACCTCCGATAGTGGGGCCTCTGGAGGCCTCCAGGGGTCGGGACCTCCGGGCACCTCCAGGATCAGGATCCGGGGCGGCGGCCAGACGCACAAGCGGTGCCTGGCGCGCCTCCTCGTGGCTTCGCCCTGCAGGCCGCCCCTCGAGGCCCTCCCTCCCCGAGGTGCCCCTCGCCTCTGAGCCCCGTTCAGCCGACGCCTATCCCCACTGGCGTGGCCTGGGCCCCACTGGCCGATTTACCAAGCCTGGATGGGTATGTAGGCTGCTTACTTCGGTATTCGAACGGTAGATCCCCCCAACTGGGTTGGTGGGATGGTGGGGGTCGGGATCGAGGAGGCGACCGACTACAGAAGCGATGTACCCTCAATTGCTTGTTCGTTGAATCTACGAATTAACATACGTAGAATGCTCCGTACATCTAGGGAACGGAATGTTCGACATGTGTTCCGTAGATGCGACCTGCACACAGTGCTGGGATAGAACATGATATAGTCGATATCCTACTTGAGAGGTGCCCCTCACGTCTCTGCCATGATCCCTCGCAGGCTGCCTCGGCAGACCAAAGGAGCAAATACCGTCTGCTTGCAAGAGGCAACATCGACACCCCATACCCGGGATCCCCCGTTTGGTGCAAAACTGGAGAAACAAACAAGCACCGATACTGCTACTCCCTGGGCCTCTCCCAGGATGCGTTCTGACCAGGGTTCCGATGCGAATGCAGCGGTTACGACGAGGGCCTCACAGGAGGTACACAAAATCGGGAAGACGGGGGAAGGGTAGCGGTAAGGGTACCTCCTCTTCCCCTGGTATTCCCAGGCTCCCCCCTCCAGTGCAGAACGAGGGCAAGGAGAGCTGCCTGGAGGAGGGGGAGGAGGAGGAGGAGGAGGAGAAGGCGGAGGAGGAGGCGGAGGAGGAGAAGGGTCTGCGGCAGCCGAGCTGCACGCAGCGCGCACCGCAAGGCGTGGAGCGCGATGAGCTGTCCGCGCCCTCCCGCCGAAGCGCTCCGGAGGCGGGCGCTTATCCAACCCGCGCCGCGGTGCGCGAAGCGCGGCGAAATCGGGGAGACGTAAGAATCGGGACCTGACGGGGCCATCATGGAAATGACGAGGCCCAATCTGAGATTAGACGCGAGCTCCCTCGCTGCAAGAACATCCCACGGAAACTGAGCCGTCAAAATCCGGGGCGGGCTCGTCAAAAAGAGTAGGCGAACTCGAGTTCCGAGGAAACCAGGACGAGGATAAGATCGGGTGGGAGTAAATCTATGAGATCCGTGCGCACGAAAAAATACAGGCAGCTCGTGAAGGCTGACGCGGGTGAACATGCGGCGGCAGGGCAACATCAACGATGCCTCTCATCCTCCTCTCGGTCCAGACGAAGGCGGGGCAGCAAAGGGGGAGTTTCAAGCGGGCCAGGGACACACACACACACAAATAAATGGACACGAATCCCATGAGTCCCCACATATCAATGTATTTCCTAGGTTTTCGTCTTCCCCCCAGTGTCCGCATTTCCCAATATTTTCCTTGGGATCGACGATTAATTGTGCCTGTGTGGTTTCCCCCCCCCATGAGTAAGACTCGGGTTCGGGGGACTCGGGTTGGCCTGACGGGGCCATCATGGCAGTGACGAGACCCAATCTGAAATTTGACGCGAACTCCCGCTGCAAAAACATCCCACGGAAACGAAGCCGTCAGCATCCAGGGCGGGCTCGTCAAAAAGCGTAGGCGAACCCGAGTTCCGACGAAGCCAGGACGAAGATAAGATCGGGTGAGGATAAATCGAGAATCTCTGAAATCCGGCGGCTCTGGAAGACATCTCGGGCGCGGCGGCCTTTTCGGAGCGTTCCGAAAGCTAGAGCGTTCCGGAACGCTAGAGCGTTCCAGAACGCTCCAGAACGGATTTATCCTCGTCCTAGCCCCGTGCGAAAGAATGCAGGCGGCTCGTGAAGGCTGACGCGGGTGAACATGCGGCGGCAGGGCAACATCAACGATGCCTCTCATCCTCCTCTCGGTCCAGACGAACGCGGGGCAGCAAAGGGGGAGTTTCAAGCGGGCCAGGGACACACAAATAAATGGATAAAAAATCCCAAGAGTCTACAGATATGGTCCAGGGTCTGCCCTCCCCCCCCCCTCCCACCAGATGGCATGGTGTCCAGCCCCCCCCTTGATAGGTGCCCCCTGCGGTGTGCTGTGGTGTGGTGTGGTGGTTTGCGCATGTACGTGCGTGCGTGCATGCGTGTCCCCCCGCCCCCCCCTGTGGGTGTGGCGTGGTGTGGTGGTGTGGTGGTTTGCGCGCGTGCGTGCGTGCGTACGTGCGTGTCCCCCCCCTGTGGGTGTGGCGTGGTGTGGTGGTGTGGTGTGGTGTGGTGGTTTGCGCACGTGCGTGCGCGTCCCCCCCCCCTTTGGGTGTGGTATGGTGTGCTGCGTGGTGGTTGTGTGTGTGCGTGTGTGTGAGTGCGTGCGTGCGTGCGCGTGCGCGCGCTTGCGTGCGGGTCTCCAGCGTAGTCGTGCAAAGGCAGCGCCGTCATCGTCGTCGCCTTCACTGTCGTCGTCGTCGCCGCCGCCGTCGTCGTCGTCGTCGTCGTCGTCGTCTTCGCAGTCGTCGTCGTCGTCGCCGCCGTCGCCGCCGCCGTCGCCATCGTCGTCGTCGTCGTCATATTCCCCGTCGTCTTCGCCGTCGTCGTCGCCGCCGTCGCCGCTGTCGTCATCGCCGTCGTCGTTGCCGTCGTCGTCGCCGCCACCCCCCTCCCCCGCATACCATCTGACGGGGGGGGGACGTGGGAACTCTGGGACCCATACCATCTGGGGGGGGGGACGTGGGCGTCCGACACCCTGGATCATATATCCATATATTTTCTAAGTTTTCTTCTTCCCCCCCGCTGTCTACATTTTTCTATTCTCCTGGGAATCGACGATTCATTGTGTCTGTGTGTTGGTTCCCCTCCTGAGGTTTAGCGGATCAGCTCGCGTGGCTGGTTCTCCCGACGCTTCCCTCCTCGAGGAAGCGCCTGGACACAGGGCCGAAACCAGCTGCATGAGGCAGGTTTCGTAACCCCTCTCCTTACCATCGGGGGCGGAGAAGAGGGGGGCGTCTAAGAGGGGGGGGCTGCACATCATGGCCGTCGGCATGTGCGCGGTCCAGGGGGGGGGGAGTATTGGAATCAGAAGAGGCGCCATGAAATCTGTGGCAATATCATGGCCCCTGCCATGATATCCCCCCCCCTTGTCATCACCCCCCTCTTTGCCGCTGGCGAAAAGCCACGCTTGCGCGTCGCCGACGAGGTAAGCCGGGAGGTAAGACGAAGCCAGGACGAGGATATAACATCGGGCGAGGATACATCGAGAACATCTGGGATCTGGCGGCTCGGGAGGAAGGCTCGGGCGCCGTGGCCTTCTCGGAGCTTTCCGGAACACGCTCTGAGAGGGCCCCCCCCCCCCCTGCCATCACCCCCCCTTGTCATCACCCCCCTCTCGGCCGCCCCCGAGACCCTGTCCCCCAAGAGCAATCCTCCTCGCCTGGCTCTCGGGTCAGATCTCGGGGGCCTCCAGCGGCCGATCCAGCCGACACCCGGGCACTCCCGGAGCTCTCCTGGCGACGCGCAGCTGCTGGAGACCACCTCGAGGCTAAAAAGCCGCCGAGCGCTGAAACGTCCGAAAACCTCAGACAGTGAGCGGGGATGCCAATAAGGTACCCATGAGCCTGTCTCCCTGATGGCGTTTGCCCCCCCCCACCCCCGCCCTCGCCCCTCTTCAATCGAATACGCACGTGCAAGAACTTTTCGACGTGCGTGATTTCCGCACGTCAAGCTGTTTTCGGCTTGCTTCAAGCTCAGGCCTGCCCCCCACGACCATGCAAATGAACTTGCTTGGATCAAAAAAAAGGATATCAAAGGTACCCATACCGCTACTCCCTGGACCTCTCCCGGGGCGCGTTCTAACCAGAATTCCGCGGCGAATTCAGCGGTGGCGACAAGGGCCTCCCAAGCCCCAAAACGGGGAAGCAAGGGAAGGGTAGCGGTATAGGTATACTTTTCCTCCTCTGAATGAGGAGCAATCAATCAATCGATAACGCTGTGTCTGCACGACACATCGGCTGCTGAAGTGCCGTCGGTTGGAGGCGTATGTCCAGACCAAGGCACAGCAAGTAGAGACAACTCAGACAAAAAGCGTCCCGGCTGGCGATTGTCTTCCGCGCGCGCGGGTTACAGAGTTCACCATTTGCGACATTGAGACAAATCCCTCTCCTGAGAGGGGGTGGCAGGGAGAGGGGGTCTCCTATTTCGTTTGGACCGATCCTCGTCCTGCCCTCCCCCCCCCGTCCATGGAAGTCAACTTGCCTGGATCTAGAAAAAAACAATCTCCAAAAGGTACTCATACCGCTACTCCCTGGACCTCTCCCGGGGTGCGAATCCAGCGGTGGCGACGAGGACCTCCCAGGAGGCCCAAAAACGTGCGAAGGCAAGGGAAGGATCCTCCGAACGAGGAGGGGGTCTCCCTTTTCGTCTGGACTGATCCTCATCCTGCCCCCCCCCCCAACTCGCTCCCCACCTCTCGGCCGGAATGCCCTCGAACCAGTCGGCCCCGGGCATCGCCGTCCTGGCGGGCGGAAGCACCACGGCGCGCGCACTCTGCAGGCACAGCAGCACTGCCGGGTCAGTAGCAGCAGTAGCAGCAGCAGCAGTAGAAGTAGTTGTAGCCGTAGTAGTAGTCGCAGTAGTAGTCGTAGTAGTAGTGGTGGTAGTAGTAGTAGTAGTAGTAGTAGTAGTAGTAGTAGTAGTAGTAGTAGTAGTCGTAGGAGTAGTAGTAGTAGTAGTAGTAGTAGTAGTAGTAGTAGTAGTAGTAGTAGTAGTAGTAGTAATAACAATAGCAGCAGCAGCAGTAGTTGTAGTAGTAGGTCGTGGTGGTGGTGGTGGTAGTAGTGATAGTCGTCGCAGTAGTAGTAGACATAGTAGTAGTAGTAGTGGTAGTAGTCGTAGTAGTAGTAGTTGTAGTGGTAGTGGTAGTGGTAGTGGTAGTGGTGGTAGCAGTAGAAGTAGTAGTAGTAGTAGTAGTAGTAGTAGTAGTAGTAGTAGTAGTAGTAGTAGTAGTAGGAGTAGTAGTAGTAGTAGCAGTAGTAGTAGTAGTAGTAGCAGTAGTAGTAGTAGTAATAGTAGTAGTAGTAGTAGTCGTAGTAATAGTAGTAGTAGGCGTGGTGGTAGTAGTAGTAGTAGTAGCAGTAGCAGTACTAGTCATGGTGGTGGTGGTGGTCGTAGTAGAAGGTGTAGTAATAGTAGTAGTAGTAGTAGCAGTAGTCGTAGAAGTAGACAATAGTAGTACTAGCAGTAGTAGTAGTAGGTAGTAGTAGTGGTAGTAGTAGTAGTAGTAGGCGTAGTGGTAGTAGTAAGAGTAGTAGTAGGCGTGGTGGTAGTAGTGGTAGTAGTAGTAGTAGTAGCAGTAGTAGCAATAGTGGTAATAATTGTAGTAGTAGTAATAATAGTAGTAGTAGTCGTCGGCCTTAGTAGTAGTAGAAGTAGTAGAAGCAGTTGTAGTAGTAGTGGTAGTAGTAGTAGTAGTGGTAGTGGTAGTAGTAGTAGTCGCAGGCGTAATAGTACTAGTAGTAGAAGTAGAAGCAGTGGTGGTCGTAGTAGTAGTGGTAGTAGTAGTCGTCGCAATAGTAGTAGTAGTAGTAGTAGTAGTAGTAGTAGTAGTAGTAGTAGTAGTAGTAAGAGTGAAAGTAGTCGTAGAAGTAGGCGTAGTGGTAGTAGAAGTAGTAGTAGGAGTAGTAGTAGTAGTAGTAGTAGTAGTAGAAGTGCTAGTAGTAGTAGTAGTAGTAGTAGTAGTAGTAGTAGTAGTGGCGTAGTAGTAGTGGAAGTGGTGGTAGTAGTAGAAGCAGTAGTAGTAGGAGTGGTAGTAGTAGTAGTAGTAGTAGTAGTAGTAGCAGTCGAAGTAGTAGAAGCAGCAGTAGTAGTAGCCGTAGCGGTAGTAGTAGTACTAGTAGTAGTAGTAGTAGTAGTAGTAGTAGTAGGCGTAGTGCTAGTAGTAGTAGTAGTAACCGTAGTAGTAGTAGCGGTAGTAGTAGTAGAAGTCGTCGTAGTTTGCAGTAGTAGTGATAGTAGTAGTAAAAAGAATAATAGTAGTAGTAGTAATACTCGTGTCGTGGTCGTGGTCGTAGTAAATGTAGTAGTAGTTAGTAGCAGTAGTAGTAGTAGTAGTCGAAGCAGTAGTAGTAGCAGTAGTGGTAGTAGTATTAGTTGTAGTAGTGGTAGTCGTATCAATAGTCGGCCGTAGGATTAGTAGTAGTATTAGCAGTAGTAGTCGCAGTCGCAGTAGTAGAAGCAGCGTCCGTCGTAGAAATAGTGGTAGTAGTAGTAGCAGTAGTAGTGGTAGTAGTAGTAGTAGTAGTAGTAGTAGTAGTAGTAGTAGTAGTAAAAGTAGTAGTAGTAGTAGACATTGTAGTAATCAGAGGTATACGTGGTAGTAGTAGTAGTGATAATAGTCGTCGTCGTCGTAGTCGTAGTCGTTCTCGAAGTAGTAGTAGTAGTAGTTGTTGTAGTAGTAATAGTGGTAGTAGTCGTAATGACAAAAATAACAACAGTAGTCGAACACGTAGTAATAGTAGTAGTACTTCTAGTAGTAAGTAACAATAATAGGATTAGTAGTAGTGATAGTGATAGTAAAATCAATAGTAGAAGTAAGAGTAATAGTAGTAGTAGTAGTGGTAGTAACCGTCGTAGTAGTAGTAGTAGTCGGGGTCGTAATAAGAATCGTAGTGGTAGTAATAGTACTAGTGGTAATCGTAGTAGTCGTGATCGCAGTAGTGAGAGTAGTCGTAGTCGTAAAAGTAATAGTAATCGTAATCGTAAGCGTAGTAGTAGTAGTAGTAGTAGTAGTAGTAGTAGTAGTAGTAGTAGCAGTAGTAGTAGGACTACTAGTGGAAGTAGCCGTATCAGAAGTACAGGTAGTGATAGTCGTAGTAGTCGTACCCGCAGTAATAGTAAGAGTAACAGTCGTAGCAGTAAAAATAGTAGTAGTCGTAGTCGTAGTCGTAGTCGTAGTCGTAGTAGTAGTAGTAGTAGTAGTTGTTGTTGTTGCTGTAGTAGTAATGGTAGTAGTAGTCGTCGTCGTCGTAGTAGTAGTAGTACTACTACAAGTCGCCGTTGGCCGTAGTAGTCAGCCGGCCCCCCTTGTGGGGCCACCAGGCTCTAGGCTCTGTTCCCTGTGCCAGTTCCAGCTTGCAGTTTCCAATGTTACAGTTCTGCTTCTTGTTGCTTACTGTTCCTTGTTGTAAACTGCGCGAGGAGGGGGAGCCGAAAACCGCCCTGGTTAGGAGGGGTCTCAGAATATTTTTGGGGGCAAAATTGTCACCCCTCACGCAAATCGGTGGGGTCAGGGTCCAAAAGCCAACGGGATTTGCTACATTTTTGAAATCCGGTGGTACCCCTCACGCAGATCGGCGAGGTCAGGGTCCAAAAACCTATCAGATTTGCAATATTTCTGAAATTCGCTGGCACCTCTCACGCAGATAGGCAAGGTCAGGGTCTCAAAACAAATGGAATCTGCCATTTCTGAAATTCGGCTGGGTCAGGGTCCAAAAACCAATGGGATTTGCAAAATTTCTAAAATTCGGCGGGATCCCTCACGTAGATCGGCGGGATCTGTGTATGGGGTTGAAGTACAAGAGTACAGAACCCCTGATCCGTTGGTAGAGAGATGGAGGGATAGATGGATATCTTTCCCTCCCAAGCGATCAAGGTACGATCGCTCCAACTCAGTACCTGAGCCCAAACGGCCAGGCGCGGGAGAGGTAAGGATAAGGAGTATATATGAGGGTATTACACGGGTTCCATACACACACCCCGTCCCGAATCCCGCCCGTGAAGGCGGGACTCGGGATCAGCAGGATGGAATCCGTAACCTCTGAACTCCTTTACCTTAAGTCTGAAAGGCAGCTGGGCTAAAAATCAGTGGAGCCCAGTTGCAAGTTGAGGTAAGAAGAGATACCTTGGGTCTCTTTTTCTTCTCCAGGCGGACTTTGCCGCCCCCTCGGTGCGCCCCCCAAAACGCTTCGGCACTCGAGGGAGGAGAAGAATGAGACAAAGGTAGGCGGAGAAAGAAGATCTGAGCACCAAGGCAACATGTAAACTGCCTCGCAAGATTTGCGAGACAGGTGTTGCCACCAGCTAGCAGATTATTCTCGACGCAATATTGTTAAATTGTTAAAATATGCATGTTAAGATCGTGTTGACGAACACAATCTTAAAATCAAACACAAGTCTGCCTAAAATCAAATGTATGCCAAGATCGTGTTGACGAACACGATCCTGAAAGAAATGCAAATCTGTGTTAAAGCAAGTACCTGGCCAGGAGAAAATGTCGTGTTGATGAACACGAAAACGATGTATAAAAATCTGTTTGGCGACTCCCGTTGGCGTTGCTCCTTAGGAGGCTGCCTCGGTGATCGCAAAAGATATCTATATGTGTGCATGGCCACTTGTGTGGATGATTGAAGTGGCCTAAAAGAATGTATTAGCCACCGCTCAAGGCGAACTTTGAGGAACGGAAGTTCTGCTCTTGAGCAGTGGGCCTTGCGGCCGACACACTACGCGTCGCCGTCCTTGTAGAACCTGCGGTCCCACACCCTCTGGCCGTTGTGCGCCACGTAGCTTGTCGTAAACGTTTCCCAAGTTGTTCTCGGGATCCAGTTGCGGAACCAATCGTTGTACGTGATATCCTGGATGTACACATACTCGTCGTTGTTGATCGCAATGTAGATCCAACATTTGATGTAGTAACTCCAGTATCGAAGACCCCAATCGCTGTCCTCGAGATTGTGGCGCCAGTAAGCAGCGCAATCAGATGTACGTGCTCTCTTGGCGCGCGGCATCGCGGGCATGTAGCCCTCCGCGCCTGAGGCGCTGGATGCAGCGGCGTCGCCAGGAGCAGGGCGCGGCGGCGGGCGCGGCGGCGGCCGCGGCTCCATGGCGTCATCGGACTGTTGGGAGTGTGTATCTGGATCGGTTCTCATCCCTGTACTACCCCCCCTCTGGTCAGTGTGTGACGGATCGAGGGAGCCTATCAGCTCGTTGGCAATCGCGGCAAGCTTGCGCTGGGTGAACTGTTCACGGGTTCCGTCCCTTCGAGGGAGAGAAACCGTAATCAGTCCGCGCGCCTGCCGCGTCTGCCTGTCAATGCGTCCCTCGTTCAGCCACCACTTTCTCCGACCAGCCTGTCCTGTCCTAATACTGACGTCAAGGATGTCCCACGCGTCGCGCATGTCCTCGACGCTCCAGGGCTTCTTGCCGACATTCACGCGGGCTCCTGTCATCTGATGATGGAATCTGAGGTCGTTGAGAAAGCGTTGAATGAGATTGGCGAATGGGTAGTACAGAGGTCGGTCGTCCTCGGATTCGCCCATTAATCTGCATTCGTGTGCAGGCGGGCTACCGGCTTCGACCAACTTCTGATACCTCTTTTTGGACGTATTGGCCAATCTCCGCAACTGATCTTTCTCTGTGCCTATGGGGGATCGCGCACCCGTCATAACGACATGTGCGCCATCCTTCATGTATCGCGCGACCTGGTCCTCGGACAACGTCGTCTTGATCCAGTT